GCGCCCTCACGGCTGAACGCCATGCCACACCGAGTGGCGACTTCCGCCTAACTCTTCTGTACATAATATATTGTTCCTAACACTCTAGCCTTCCCAAGACCCCTTTCCTCTCCTAAGGAACTAGGCCTGGAAGATCGCAGCCGTTATGGTTAAACCACAATAGTCTTAATACATCGCGATATATCATCCAGCCCTTCGAACTGTGTCTTAAGGCCTGTTTTGCTTTCAACGGCCAGGTGGACGAGCAAAAGAAGAGGTCACCGATGAGTTTGCCTCTGTCTAGACTTACTGCCGAAGTAGTTCTGCAGAGGCTCACGCATCTAGTCTTCAGTTCTGACCCACCGAAGTTCTGGGCCACATATGTCGATGACACGCGTCATTGTCAAGAGAAGCCACGTGCGAACTTTGAGGGCATTATTGAATTCAACCTTTCCCGACATCTAGTTTACCACAGATGAAGGAGGCAACAATTAGTTGCCCTTATTAGTAGTCCGAGTTACAAAGCTGGAAGACGGGAAGATCAGGACGATGGTCTGCCGTAAGGTATCTAACATCAAGCGCATTTTCCACTTCCGAAGCAGTTGTGTCAGGACCCTCTTCTGACGTGTTCAGACAACTTGGAGAAGCAGGAGGAGATGAAGTACGTACATGCCCTTTTCCGAGGTCCTTAATCCGCAGGTGCCTCAAGAAACCTAGTTTTCAGCCGTCGAGCGAAGAAAAGCCAAAATTCGCAACCCCCTGCGTGAGAAACGTTTCAGAGGCGATAGCACGAATCCTAAAACCTTGTGGGATCGGCGTTACTCATAGACTATAATCTGCAATTAGATAGCAAATCATGAAGCCCAAAAACCCTCCGCCAGTAGCCGAATAGTCAGTAGCGTTATATACCATACAGTTCAAAAAATTGCGATTCGATGTATGTTGTCGAAACGGGCAAATGCCTCGGTTCAAGTCTGCACGAACACCAACTTGCAATCAATCGTAGGGACAAGCTGTATATTATCACGCGCAACAGCTAAACCACGACTTGGCCTTTGAGAAAGCAAGGCTATTCGGCAGAGCCAATGAGAAGATGGCCAGGCTAGTGCTCGAAAGTTGGTCCTCAACTGGCACAATCAACCGAGCTATGGACTTTAAGCATGCCTACCAGGCACTTCGCACACGGCGCGGATCAATTCGAACAAGGCCGGGAGGGCAAACGAGCAAGCTTACGGAAACAAGCCAATGCTCACGGAAAATAGGGGTGGCGGTCGGAGGTCAACTGACAAACATCAAACACTGTCTCATCGATGTGCCCGCGAAGCGGAGACCAATTCAAGCAAACAGCAACGACTGACTAGTCCGCCAGTTGCCAACAGGCATATTGACACTTACAACTATGCTGAGCCCAAAGGAGACAAAGGTCATGCAAGCCCGCCAGGGAAATCAAATGCAATCAGAAGCGATCGGGCCGGTCAAAGTTCGCGCGTACAACACAGCTATAATACGAGGAAGGTGGCAAAACTGACCAATTCAAGACCACCAGACGCCGATGGTGGAAGCGAGCGGGGTTCCGAAACGTCAGAAAAATCAAAATTCCGTCCACGAACTCGCTCCCCCCATTTTTTTCTGTTTTGGGAGATGATGAACGCGATAAGATATCTGGACCCCGAATCTTTAAGCATGTTGCTTTTGTCCAATCTATATTTACAGTTTCTGTCTGTTTAGCCTGCTATTTTATGGACCTTACCCCTTTATTTGCTTTCCAATAAGTCTCATTTTTAGTTTGCTATCCCAGGTTAGTTTAAGAAGGTCTATCCAATACAGCGAGATCCATAGTGACAGCTTAATGTTCTTCGAAAAGGTGTGAGCACAATAGGAAGGGAAAACAAACTAGGTTAATACAGTTTAGCAGGGAAATTGTTGGGGAACGCAATATGCGAAAGATCTTATAGAAGGCTGTAGTTTCCATTGCGTGGATAAGAGTGCAGCTGGACGCGTTCCTGACGATCCATGCGCATGTAGAAGCCGAAACGAAAACCGTAGTCCGTGGCTGGGTGGTTGCTGGCCGCCTCCTCACTAAAGTCCGGATCTTGTACGTGCCAGATCTGAAGGCCTGGTATCCAGTCTTGCCTCTGATGATGAAGAGGAAAAATATCATTGGGGAGATTAAAAGGTATCTGATTGCCGCAGGTATTCTGAGTATAAAACAATTGTTTTGAGCTCTACAGTTAAGCTCAGCTGATTGCAGTTTGTGCACATTAACAGCATACCGAGTCTTTTTTATAGAGCAACGACGTCGCTGTAAGTTATAACAGAGGTCTCAAAAATCGTCATTATATTGTGTTAAGCCCTAACCGCAATGGTAGTGAGACAAGTAGTGAGATATCTCAAGTCATTTACTATTTACGGACGCCGAAGTTTTATCGTTTATGTCGTGGAATTCATGGACGTCTCGGTGATATCGCACTTTAGGTACAGCGTGTCATGTAGGTGCCTTTTTTGCAAGGAAACGTTTTACGTGAACTTACTTGTATGCCTAGGGCTCGTTTGCTGGTAGGTTATTCACCCATTTCCTAAGTGCATGTTTCGTCATTGACAATAACACCTCCTGCATTCGCTTTATTTAATTTCCTTGGAAATTAATACGCGACCTCAAAGTGAATAGTTTTGCGCAAGGCTTTCTTATGTGCAGATCGCAAGTTAATGTGAATACTCGAACTAAAATGCATACAAACAACTCTAGAAAAGCTTCAGCATGCAAATAATGAAAGATTTATCATGCTTCCAGCACAGGTGTCAGCTACAACTGCAGACACGAATGTCTCGTCGATCACAGGCTGCTACACGACGCAGTTGCGGGGACCTAACGCATTGATGTGTGCTCCAGCGCTTCCCATTTGCTTTCTGGTATGCAGACTCCAGTTTCCATTCTCTCTTGCTTACTTGTCTTCGAAACTTATCTGTTAACTTGAGGATTACCCCTCGAAACAATACTTTTCAGAGTTGTTAGGAAAAACTTCATTCCGAAGGATTTACTCAAATTTCGCGCCTTTCTTCTCTCGGAAAATAAATAAGATAGCATGGAAACTGGAGTTTATCTACCAGCAAGCATATAGGAGACGCTGGGTCACGCGCTGATTGACTGTATCCCTTGGTAATGCAGCGGCACGAGATCGATGAAATGTGCGTATCACCGATGAAACATGCGTGCAAAAGAAGTCTCATGAATTCCATGGAAAGTGTGAGTGTAACTACATGTCAAAAAACGGCTACATCAACTATTTAGCTGCCGTTCGTCTCTGCACGTAGATCGTACATCGTAGGTGACTATGGACTTACCCTTGGCTCGCCTGGTGCTTTTGCTTCATTTTTTCCTTTCCTTGGAGGCTTCTCCTTCTTTGTAAGACCTGCAAAGAAGAGTGGGCGAAAATATTATTGCAGAAAAAGAGTACTCTGCAGAAGAATATTCTCCTTCCCTAATATTGCCCTATGGTTTGTAAATTCCTACCATTTAGGACTAAAATTGTCCTGAAAATGTCAACGCGACAAGTAGTAGTAACTTCTAAGTGCTGAAGAAAACGTTCATGACAAAACCATCGTTCACCTCTTCGGCGCATTTTGATGGCAACACATAGTCTGAGTAAGCGGAGGATGGCGTAGTTGAAGTAGTAGTCACTAATTCGGTTACACAACCCGTGCACAGTGCATCGACATGCCTTGATCCCTGCCCTCACATGATGCATTCTTCAATAGCAGGCCTCGGATAACACCTCGCTGTGCACGTCATAAAGGGCACATTAAGAAGGAGGCGGTGCGGCCCGACCCTGCGTTCAGGGTCGAAATGTGTTGGGACGTCGGTTGGCAAGCCTTTGACACCACGGTTAGTAGCCCGTCGTGATAAGTAGAAAGCGGGTTTGATCGTTTATGGTGAGATAGTTGCGTGCTGAATTCGGGCTGCACCAAATTCAGTTGTCTCTGGCTTGCCCACGCGCCAAAAAGGTCCGTCCGATATAAGTCGACTAGGGGTTGAGAGCGGAGGTTGTGGCAGACATGACGCGAAATCTCCGTGTAACCTGCGTGACATAGGTTC